GCACCGTGCTGATCTGAAGCCAGGAGTAGGTGCTTCTCCTGGTCTCCCATGCGGGTGCAGGGCCCAAGGACCTGGGCCATCCTCCACTGCACTTCCGGGCCACAGCAGAGAACTGGCCTGGAAGAGGAGCAACCAGGACAGAATCCGGTGCCCAGACCGGGACTAGAACCCGGTGTGCTGGTGCCACAGGCAGAGGATTAGCCTATTGAGCCATGGCGCCGGCCTCTAGGAAGTTCTAAGTATGGGAGATGTTTGCTGTCTATGATTTCTTTGTGAAAACAAATCACAATGACTCAGCTGTTTGTCATAATTAATGAATGAAGACCCCTTAAATGACAATGTTTCATGACATGTGAATGTCCAAATTTGACTCTAATGCAAGAATCAGGCTTTCAGTAAACACTCAAGACCCCAAAGATTGACATAGAGGATATCTTCTGTCATGTCAACAGCAGTGTGACTGATGCTTATATCAGGAAACAAAAACCTGTTTGATGCACTGGATATCTAGAACCACGAACTGTGGAGGCAGAAGGGACCTGGGGGGATTTCTGCTCCAGCCCTGGAAAGATCAGAGGGTTTGTGGGAGACCTGGCCCCTGCACACCGTCTCCCTCTTAGACCAGGAGTTCTTGCCCCACTTCTATGCATCCCTCTTTGGGAAATGTAGCACCTGCATCCCTAGGAGAACACACCCACAAGAATCACTTCATCCAGGACTTGCTTCTAGAACTGTCGCATGGCTACCTGCACAGAGGTGGAGGAGAGACGAGTGTCCATTCCCAGGCTCTGGGGAGCACATGGTTTGGAAAGCTGACCTTTGAGGCTGATGGAACAAAGCTGTTACTTCCAGAGTGTGGCCCTTAGGGCATCTTGTTCTCAAGAGGTTTTTAGACTGGTCCCAGCTTTACAAACCCATGCTTCAGCTACTTAAAATCCAGACACCAGTCATCACTGTTACACCATCATTGGGCCCCAACCTGCAGCCAAGGTGAGCCATCTAACCTAACTGTAGGGATAGGCCTGCCTATAGGAAGGGCCTGACTCCAGCCAAGAAAAGATGTTTCTAAAATGCTTCTGCATAAGAACTTATTCAAGGGACACCCAAGTGCCACTGACACCGGTCACCGTGTTTATGGTGACAAGTGTGCCCATTGCTCTGCTTCGGCTCTCAGGGAGAGGCCCGGTGGGGGAGGTGGGGGGTCCTGAGAAGCCAGGCTCTGCTGTTCCTCTGTGCAAGGCAGGGCTCCTCTGGGTAAGAGAAGGGAAATGAGCGGCCTTCCTCACAACACTGGAGTAAAGGCTCGTGAACTGGGGATTCTGCATTTCTCCTGTGTGGCCACCGCATTAGGCTGGGCTCTCCCAGGAGCCAAGCCTGAGACAAGAATTTGAGTGCAGGTGGTTTATTTGGGATGCGGTCCCAGGAAATGGAACATGAGAGAGAGAGAGAGAGAGAGAGAGAGAGAGAGAGAGAGAGAGAAAGAGAGAGAGAGAAGTCAGGAAAGGCTGCCTCATCGAGCAACGTACCACAGAGGGTGCCCGGCGCTAAGTCCACTGGGGAACTTGGGAGCCTGCAAGTCGGAGTCAGCGCCCCAACTCAGGGTAGAGGAGCTGGAATGTGTTTGTGCCTCCCATCGGTCACTGGCTAGGCTGCTCCGGGGAGTGGCATTTCTCTGGCACCTCCCTCCGGCCTGCTGCACAGGAAATGGTGCTCCTGCTGCCTGAGGAAGTCTAGGGCAGGTGACTGTTGGCTGGTGGAGCATTGACAGAAGCTGGGACAGTCACATGGGCTGAGATCCACTCCCCACTGTGTGTGTGTGTTGTAGATACTACTGGTGATGGATCATGAGGGAAGCCAGTTACTCTGATCCTGACAATGGGAACTCAGATGTTTCAATGCAGAGTTTTACCCATTTACTCACACATTCTGCATAGCACGAGGAAGCAAGCAAGGTGGTTAGACCACGCTCAGTCTTGCAAACATGGACTAGAAACCGACACCGAGGTAACTGCTCCTTCAGTATCCCTGCAGGTGGATGCGCTATCATGGCGGTGGAGTTTTTGCCCTGAGCTTGTTCCAAAGGATCTAGTAATTCCTTACCGCTGGGCTTCAAGCGTGTGCTAAACCCCATGCACAATTCACACCTCACAACTCCATGAGGGGCTACGGTGATCTCCATTTCACAACTGAGGCCAGGGTGTGTCTACCCAGTCAACACTGAAAATCTGTGCTAGGTCCCTGAGATCAGTTTGAAAACCAGACAGACACGGGTGTGTCCACCAGCTGAGAGCAAGCTGAGAGCTGCTGAGCCCAGAGGGATGGGAGCGGCTGAGAAGCATGTGGAGGGCCAGGCAGACAAGTCAGAAAGTGAGTTGGAGCCACAGATGGCGCTGGCTTGTTCTAAGGAGAGGCAAGGAGCTAACACAGAGCTGGCAAAGCTCATGACTGTGTTCCTTCCTTCCTTCCTTCCTTCCTTCCTTCCTTCCTTCCTTCCTTCCTTCCTTCGTCCCTTCCCCTTCCCCTTCCCTCCCTCCCTCCCTCCTTCCTTCCTTCCTTCCTTCCTTTCTTTTTGACAGGCAGAGTGGACAGTGAGAGAGAGAGAGAGACAGAGAGAAAGGTCTTCCTTTGCTGTTGGTTCACCCTCCAATGGCCGCCACGGCCGGCATGCTGCGGCCGGTGCACCGCACTGATCCGATGGCAGGAGCCAGGTACTTATCCTGGTCTCCCATGGGGTGCAGGGCCCAAGCACTTGGGCCATCCTCCACTGTACTCCCTGGCCACAGCAGAGAGCTGGCCTGGAAGAGGAGCAACCAGGACAGAATCCGGTGCCCCGACCGGGACTAGAACCTGGTGTGCTGGCGCCGCAAGGTGGAGGATTAGCCTAGTGAGCCGCGGCGCCGGCCATGACTGTATTTCAAATCCAGTCTAACCCTAAAACCTATCTCCATACCCTCCTGCTTTCAAATACTACTCAACATGTAAGCCCATATTTGTTTTCCTTTACCCAGAGCAGTCCAGGCCTGATGGGGAAAATTAATCATCTTTTTGTTTCCTGCATGAATTGCATGCCAACAATGATATCTGATGGAATACTGAATTCATTGATTTAGGGTGGGCTGAGAGGCTACTTTGGGAAGGAGCTGACACACCGAGGAGTCTGGGTAAAGCTGACTCCCCTATTTTCCCGCTCAGCAAGGGCAGGGAAGGGATGCGGGTGTGTGGCCGAGTTCCCTGGCTTTTGCCCCCATGCCTCCCCATTGCCCTGCTTGCATTCTGCCCGGGAAGGCACAGCACTGGCGGGTGGCTGTGCCTCCAGGAGGTTGGTCCCTGGAGCCTGATGAGGGGTGGGAGTCACGGCTCATTGTGCCCCGGCACACCACTGGTGCAGCGTGAGTCGGCAGCAGGACACAGAGCCACAGGGAAAGAGATCGCGATCTCCTTCAGGTAGCATCTGGTTGCCGCCTCTGGCATGCAGAGGTGACTGTGCTGTGGCATCTTCAACTACAGAGAGGATCAGAGCCCCTTACCATCAAGGAGGCACCAGGTGAGGACCCACCTCCCAGGGAGGGGCTGCCCGTGCAGACCAGGCTCCACTCTTCAACCCACACACCTGCCCGGACGAAGACTCATGGGTAAGGACACAGTGGCTATGGACTGGCCTGAGGATGGGTGAACGGTGGAGGCTTCAGGGACTCAGTCATGAGTGACAGCCCCCACGTCCCCAGGGGCCTCTGCTGGACCACTGGTGGCCATGGTGGGGTTGGCCTGGCTCCACAGTACCCCAGCCCAGCCACTCACCAGAGAAAGGGGGCTCATTCACCCACACAGCTAGGTCACCAGCAACTTGTTAGCTTCTACAGCACTCACACAGGATAGGGAACAGACCTAGAAGGGACTTCCTTGCCAGAATCCTCATTCCAAAGATGAAATGGAGTATTTCATTCTGACTGCATCACAGGTGCACAGAAATGGAGATGTTAGCAGGCTAAATGGTCCCCAAACTGCAGAGCTGATGGTTCCTTGTCATCACCTGGGACCTGAGGACAAGCATGGCTGAGAGGCAGCCTCAGCACTGAAACTTGCTGGCTGTGGCCTTTGTGTAACTACCTTCCTGACTCGACCTCAGTTTTCCTCATCTGAAAAATGGGCTGTGTCTATTCCAAAGGGTTATGTAATGAGCTCATTAACACATGCTAAGCACCAGGCATGAAAGAGATACTCTACAAATGTTAGTTTCTTCTCTTTCCTTGGAGACAGGCAGGGATATCTTGACTCTACAGTGGACAAGTCTGGCATGAATGTGCTTTGAGAAGCTGTGGCGAGAACCCACATGCACGCCTGGGCAGTGGGCAGAGCACTCACTCTGGAGGGAGTCTTGCATCCCTTTCTTCCGTGTCCCTTGGAACTCAGCGGCTGGCTGGGGCAGGGGCAGTGGAGGAGGAGCGTCGGACAGGGCAATGGATGGGGCTTGGGGGACCTGACAGCAGCAGATTGCAACACTGGGATTCCATAGGCACTTGGATTGGGAAAGGATTCCAAGACTACAACACACACACACACACACACACACACACACATCTAATACCAGAGACACAAACTATCCAAAAGGCGGCTTTCAACACAAAGGCTCCACTGTGGATTAAAAGAGGCTTTGCTGACCTGATCAAATTCCATGGGAAGGATTGCTTAGGGGGAGGCTGGGGTGACAAACAGTGTTGTTTTTTTTTAAACCAATGAGAATGATTGGGGCACTGAGTTACACACTTAGAGCCGAGAGGTGGCTCTGATGCTCTTGGGAGACTTTGCAGGGACACGTGGTGCTGTTTTCCGCAGGGTACCCCCAGCGCCAATCAAGAGGGTTCCCTTGGGCTCTCCCACCTCCCGGATGGCTCTCCACAGAGAGCTCTTTGGGGGTCAGCATCTCTGCACAGACACAGCACATTTCCCCCGTGCCCCAGCTGCAGCCCCGAGCCCTCTGTCCGCGGTTTGGCGGTCCCTACCTTCTTAAGCTCTTCCTGGACACTCCGGCTGTTCTCCTCGGAAGACAGACTTTCCTTCTGGGTCTCGGACTCCGTCCTGGGCTCAGACTCCTGGTCCTCCCCGGAGGAAGTCTCTTTTTCACTCATTTTCATCGCTAACTCGTATAGCCTGTTTCTGAGCATCTCCTCCGTGGCGTCCGGGCCCGTCCAGGGGCGCTGACCCTCGTTGCTGCCATCAGTCTCTGATATATCACCCGACACCTGCGTGAAAGCCAGAACCGCAAGATGAGGACCCTCCTGCTAGCGTCATGTGGCTCATTTCTAAAATCACCCCAGGGGCCAGCGCCGTGGCTCACTTGGTTAACCCTCTGCCTGTGGCGCCAGCATCCCATATGGGTGCCGGGTTCTAGTCCTGGTTGCTCCTCTTCCAGGCCAGCTCTCTGCAGTGGCCCGGGACGGCAGTGGAGGATGGCCCAAGTGCTTGGGCCCTGCACCCCATGGGAGACCAGGAGGAAGCACCTGGCTCCTGGCTTCAGATTGGCGCAGCGCCAGCAATAGCGGCCATTTGGGGGTGTGAACCAATGGAAGGAAGACCTTTCTCTCTATCTCTCTCTCTCTCTAACTCTGTCAAATAAAGAAATAAAAAATAAATAAAATAAAATCACCCCAGAGGGGAGGCGAAGACGGCGCAGGAAAGCAACAGCTCTCGGCCTGGCTGCTTTTTCTACACATGAATTTTCACCATTTGCCATGCACTTTGCCAAACGCATGCGTTGTAACACTTGGTTAAGGGGTTCAGGCAGGTGAGCCTCTGTACCCAGAAAAGCTTTCAAATTCACTCTGTTTCATTCACAAACTACTCACTGAGTTCCCACCGTGGGTGGCACTGCTCACGTGCCCATGAGCTGGTGCTGCTGTGTCCAGTGAACCTGGCTGGCTCCGCCTTGCCTGGCCAGTCCCCGGGTGGAGGGGGGGCACGGAAACTATGCAGCAGCTTTTATGGTGGTTTATGTACCGGGATGATGATGACAACAATGCTGACAAGGATGGCAATGATACCTCGTGTGTGTGTGTGTGTGTGTGTGTGTGTCTAGCAGCCCATGAATGGGAGGGGTCAGGGGTGAGGGAAGGATTCCCAATGGAAGTGACGTTTGAACAGAGATTCCAAGTGTAATGGCCACGCAGCTCTAAGGAAGAAAGGGAGAACAGTATTCCGGGCAGAGATTTGGAGAGGGTGCCAAGTCCTTGCACAGAAATCAGCAATGTCTGACACTCTCTCAATTTTTACATCACCTGCTTCTGTGACCCATTTGGTGATATTAAGTTCTTTCTATGAGTACAAGGAATCTTTAAAAAGTTTGTGAGAAAATCCTATCGTGCATGGATCTCAATTTTTTTTTTTTTTGCAGGAAAAGAAACAACTTTTAATTCCGTTTTTCACAACCTTTTTGAAGTACCCACGTCTCTTTGCTACTTCAAAGGGACCTTGAATTTCAAAACAAACTTCACCCAAACACCAAAAATACCAAGTGTGTTGAACAAGGACTCATGCAACAGATCAACAAGAAAATCAAGAATTGTGAGAAACTTGTGTGCCTTGAAAACAGGTCATAGCGTGGAATTCCTTACGGGCAAGCCAGACAACTACAGGAAACACGTGTATCTGGGCCTACAGCACTTTAAGCGACTGTTGGGAGTATGACTGCCTGCCTATGGGGTGGGGGTGGGGGCTGTGTCTCACACCTCTCACCTTATAAACTGGTATCTGTGTTCATGGGACATTATTTGGAAAACAGGAAAGCAATGTTTTCCATGCTCCATTAAAACTGCATCTTCATTTCCTTAGGCTACGCCATAAACGTTTTTCCCCCAGGGAAGGAGAAAGCAGCTCCAGAGATCATTAATGAGCTCACTCCATCACCTGTTCAGGGCCGTGAGCCTCCTGAAAGCCAGACTGTGGAGAGAGAAGGCAGGTCCAGACACCAACTCGCTCGAAGGCTGCATTTTGCTTGTTCCCGAATTGGAACTTGTGGGAGGCAGCCTTATTGGATGCCTGTGGCCTCTGGGCTTCCATGCCCCAGAAGATGGGGTGGCTGTGGCAGCTGCTGATGAATCCCAGGGAGTGATAACAGAGGGAGGCCAGGGGAGTCCCCAGGGCTCCCCAGGCTTCGTGTGGCACAGGTGGCATCCATAGGCACAGCCAGGGCACGGAGCCATCCAGTTTGAGAAGCCGAGGGGGAGGCAAGTTTGGGGTTTTCTCCACTTTTTTCTTTTTAATTTATTTGAAAGGCAGAGAGATGGAAACAGCCAGAAGGGAGAAGGGTAGAAGGGTAAGAGGAGGAAAGAGGAAAAGGGAGGGAGGGACGGAGGGAGGGAGGGAGGGAGGGAAAGTGATGGAGAAAGGGAGAGTGATGATGGAGGGAGAGAGAGAGAGAGAGAGGAAGGGAGGGAGAGGGAGAGAGAGGGAGGGAGAGGGAGGGAGAGAGGGAGAGAGTGATGGAAGGAGGGAGAGTGATGGAGATAGGGAGAGTGATGATGGAGGGAGGGAGAGGGAGGGAGAGAGTGATGGAGGGATGGAGAGAGGGAGTGATGGAGAGAGGGGGAGAATGATGGAGAGAGGGGGAGAGAGAGAGAATATGAATACACCATCAACTGGTTCAGTTTCCAAATGCCCAGAACACCTGGAGCTGGGCCACACTAAAGCCAGGAGGCAGACACTTCCTCCAGTCTCTCACTTGAGGGGCAGGAACCCAAGGACATGAGCCATCACCTGCTGCCTCCCAGGGTGTGCCCCAGCAGGAAGCTGGAATCTTAGTAGAGCCAGGACTCAAACCCTGGCAACACCATGCTGTGGGATGTCGGAGGCCCAAGCAGCATCCTCACCACCACACCTTGCTGGCCTCCGTCCCTCACTTTTTCCAGTAGATCCTGGCTAAGGGATTACTTTTAGCCACTGCACGTCAGCCTTCGCTGAGGACATCCTAGGGTCCCGGAGGCTGTCCACATTCCTACTGATGAAACACAGCAAGCCTGGATTAAAAATTAAAAGTTCATGGGGCTGGCGCTGTGGTGTAGCAGGTAAACCCACTGCCTGTAGCTCCAGCATCCCATCAGGGCGCCGGTTCATGTTCCGGCTGCTCCATAAGCTTAACTAAACTGCACCTTCTGTGACGCGCCGCCTGGCACTGAGTGGCATCATGAGACGCAGCCCTCCGTCCCCACGGTGTGCATTCCCTGGAAGCAGCTGACAGCAGAGGAGTCTGTATTCTGCATCCTCTCCAGAAGAACCCCTAGGACAAACTTCTCTTGGGTGTCAGCTCCAAGAAGAGCACCATCGGAGGAACACTTGCTGTTCTACACGGCTCCCATGGCCGAGTAAACTCTCACGCACCCTCCTATGGTCTTCTAGAAAGCACAGGCACAAAGCTTTGCCATCTACAGCCTACAACGTGGACCCTGCTGCATCTATTTTGTGAACTAACTTTACTCTCAGCTCTATCTCATCATTCCTACCCTGGTTTTCCCTTTGTCCTACTTCTCTCATAATCGTAGTTTTATTTTTTCCTGTTTATTTCTGTAAGCCAGTTTAAATGATTTCTGGAGCAAGACATAAACACATTACATAAAGGAATAATTACAGATTATTAATTATAAGGAATTAGTGGCTTCTTGATATAGCAAGAGTCTTAACACACATATGTATATATCTTTAAGAATAATTAGGCTCTGGAATGCTATTTGTGGGCAAATTTTTTCCTGGGAGAAAACAATCAATCACTGATGAGGATGACCAAAAATGAAACACTGGGCAAGACGCAAACAGCAGCCTCCTGCCATCCTCAGCCCTCCGCTGATGACACACCATCAGCCCGACTCCATTTTAAAATGGCATCTGGCAAACATCTCTCCTCCAGCCTTTCTGCATTTTCCACAGAGGCTGTGTGGGAAGATACAGACAAAGATGAGAAGGCACAACACTGAACAGCAATAGAAGCCAGGTTGCTGACAGCAAGCAGACCGTTTTTCAAGTCTGAGGCCCGAGCAGGTGGAGTGACACTGCAGGTGCAGGCCCATTCGTTCTCTCCCTCTTCCCAGTCATCACTGTAGTTGCTGACATCACTGTCACCCTCCATGCCTTAGCCGTCTCTCAACCTCAAACTGTGCTCTATAAATGGGAGGTAAATGCTCATTATAAAATAGAGCAAACATCAAACAGACAAAAACCATAATAGCTGAGCCTTCTATTGTGGTGGTGGGACTTTCTAAGCACCCACGGAAAGCCCTACTCAGTTCCTCCACGGTGCTTCCCTGTTTTATGATGACTAGAAAACACAGCCACCAAAAACCATTCCAGGAGGAGGGAGAACTATCCATGGTGTCACATGGCATCCTGGCAAGTGTGGTCATGAAATCTAAGCCCCCTGGGGTTACAGACTACAAAAACCACGGCAAGTGTACAATAGTTGTTGTTTGTCAGTCCTAACTCATGCTAGATGCACACTCTCAGTCCCCAGGCTAGGTTCTTGGCTGTCTGTTCTAGGAAGACATAGAGCAAGGCCAAAGAGTAGGGGAAAGTCTCCTATCTTCAGCTAGCAGCATGGACATGATTCAAGTGTGCTCGATATTGGGAAAAGTGCAGTGGGGATACCATCGACCTCACTCAAGAATGAGTTAACACAGAGCCCACAGAAGACACTGCACAGCACAGGGAACAAAAGTTAGCGTGAAGCTGGGAGGGGAATTTTACTAAAAACCAGGTCACTGAGTATGGGAGCTGCTTTGCGTGCTCCCTGGAGTTTCAATGACAAGACATGAAAAGTTCTAAGAGATAAACACTTAGACTAGGAGACAACAAGCTGAACTAAAATTAGGAGACTGAAAAGGAAAAAACACTGCAAAAAAGAAAAATTGAAAACCCAGCTGCAGAATGAGAATTCCATTTGAAGGTGGTAATAGCAGAATTAATATTGGGAAATCAAGTAAGTCATGTGGAGGCCAAACTCCAGGGGGTATCCTGGAAGGCTGAGGAAAGGGAGCCACAGTGAAATAAGATGATGGATACGAAATACAGAGGATGTGGTGTGTAAGGGGGTCATCAAAACATTTCAGGGAAATCTCTTTCAAAATACCAATGACATTTTTTTATAGAATTAGAAAAAACAATGCTAAAATTCATACAGAATCACAAAAGACCGAGAATAGCCAAAGCAAATGTGAGCAAAAAAATATTAAGCTGGAGGCATCAAACTACCTGACTTGAA